CACTCCTGAAGACTGATGGGCACAGGTGGGTGGCACTGCTGGGCACTGATCATCAGGGCACTGATAATCAGTGCCGATCCCTCCTCTGACAATTTCTGATTATCAGCAGCACTTTCCTCATGCTGTGACAGCATGAGGAAAGTGCAGCCGATAACCAGCAACTGCATTTACCGGTGATCTGCTGTGTCATTGGACGCGGCTGATCATGTGGTGAAAAGCTGCTGTAATTGGCCTTCTACCACATCACGTGATCAGCTGCGTCCGTAGAACATAGCAATCACCGAGATCGCCTGGGGCGCGCGCGCGGGAGAGCGTGTGTTCTGGGAGGACAACATATGATGCCCTCCCAGAACTGGCCGGCAACAGTAAAGCCGTCATTTGGCTATCTGCGGTCAGCAAGTGGTTAATTAAGCTTTGGCAATAAAAACTGGAAGCTGATTGTTTTCTATGCAGAGTTGCACCAGATTTTGCACTTTCCATTTTAAGTAAATAACCCCAATAGTGTGACTGTGATAGTGTGGTGGGCAATCTGGCACTAACAGACACTGCTTGGGAGGTTCACTAACTGACACTAATAATACTGGTGACTATACAAATGGCAATCAAGGGCTTAACTGTGCAGCTAACAAGTGTAACGTGTGCTACTTTTGCTTATTGATTTGCCTGTTTTTTTTCCCTTCTTTTCAGAGAGAAGAAACAGCCAGTACATAGAATTCTGAGTTCTTGTAAACACAGAACTCTGTGCTGTAATTCAACAGAGATGATCAGCAGGTTTCAGCCGAATTCATTGGCTGATATCTGGTGCCAAAGTTGTGCTGTGTCCAATCACAGCACGGGTTAGCAGAGGGCATGCGCATGCTCTCCCCATACCTGGAAGAAATATGGCACCGTACGTGTATGTTGCCATACCTGCACCTACCACCTGCTCGCAGAATATTTACTGTGAGCTGTTGGCAGATGGTTAAAGTGCTCCATTAGATATTTTAGCATGCAGAATGTATTAGCATGTCAGATGATGTATTCTTCAAAACAGGCAGTGGTTCCATCATAGGTGTCAGTAGAAGGAACCACAACACACAGCGGGGGGACACAAGCATCCAACATTCATAGAAGTGACAAATCCTGAGACTCTGACAAATACTGTAGTGCTTCAATGTAGGGTAGAGAGTGCAGGAGAGATACGTATAATCATTTTTATTTAGCAGGGAACTGTGTTTACGTGTTTTCCCTGATCGCAGTGTCACTTTAAAGGAACACAAAACAACTAGCAGATATAAAAAAAATACGATAGAACAACTTGCCTACTTTTGTTATGATTCAGCAATTTTGGTAAGTAATCAAATAAACATATATTTTCTTCATTTCAAGATTTCGCCTTTAATTTATCTGCCCCCCTCTTCTGTCTGTTTCCAGATTGAAACGATTTATCAAGCAGCAGCTGCACATAAAACAGGCGGAGGGAGGGGGGTTATTCTCCCGAGCTCTGTTCTGCTGGTTTCAGTGGGAGTTCACTCTATATAAGACAATCATACGTCTGTTATCTGCACCGTCATGATTAAAGTGATGATCACAATATGTGCTCCAACCAGCGCAGCACGCTTTATGCGAGCCACATAATCCCAGGTTCAGCCGTGCAGCATACTGCTCCGCTGATCACAGAGCCATCCTTTGTGTTTCCATTCAGAATGCTGACATGGATCTATTAAATGGAGCCTGCATGGCACGAAAAAAAGGAAATTCATTCCCAGAAATCTGAAAAGGGCTGATATAATATTAAACACATGTTTTCACATACCTCTGAGCTTTTCCTTGCTCTCAACTTTTATATCCCTTTATCCTTTCATGACCGTTCTCCCTCTCCCAGCAATTATTCTATACAATAAAATCAGCTGCCCTTTTTTTTTTTTTCATTAAAGAAATATGATGCATGTACAGTACAATACATGTTCACATTAGACGATGTTACTATGCTACATGCTAACAAGCAAACCAATAGCTTACATGTTCCAATAAACCACAAACTACCAGCTGGTAAATCCCATTTGACTCCAGTAGGGGGAGCAGGTGCCTTTTCTAAAAATAAGCACTGAATAGAAACAAAAAATATGTATAGCTTTTAGGTTGTTATTTGCTTTATGCGTTTCAGCAATGGTGCTTTTTAACAATGTAAGGTAAATAGTCTAAATAAACAGATACTCTGTTTTTATTAGGCCTTTATTAGTCATTTGCACATTAAACATACAATGGATTGCTCTGTCATCCAATAAAAACTAATATTCAATTTGCCCAGTTTTGAAAAGGTTTTGTTTGTAGAAGGAAATGTGTTAGTAAATTAATAGGATTATAAAAAAAAATTTAATGAATGTAACATATCAAGGAGTAATCTGCACATGACAGATTTGTGCTGAAGATAATTTTGTTTTGTGCACAAATAATTATTTTTGTTTTTATTCTAACCATTAGGCAGTTTATTGCCATAGTAACATCTCTGGTTCATCCCAACTATTCATGAAACAGATGAACTATAAAGGCAAAACAGAGGATTAAGAGAAGACTTTGTAAAGCTAATTAATGAGTATCTTTAAATACTGTCATTGGGAACAGCAGTACTTGAAAATGTCACGACGATCGCCACGTTTACATTAAATAGCCGACAGCGGTTTATTAAAGTCCATCAATTTTGAAAAACTTTTTGTTGTGTTTGTATTATATGTAGGGCAGCTGAAAAGCTACTTGCTATTTACTGTATTTACTGTATTTATTACATACATGATAGGTGTTGTTACTCTAGCCATTCAGAACTTCTCATTTGTCATTATACCTTTAAGGAGAGTCGCATGAAATCCAGGTTAGACTGTCAGAAGTGGAGACAATATTTGTCTCAATAGGGGCTAGTTATGGAAGGTGGAACAGCTGTGCACATCATGCTTTTGGTGAACTTTTGTTCTTTTACAGCTAATTGTTTATTTTTTTCCTGTCTTTAATGTTTGAATGTTTCTTTCAGCCATGAAATCTGGTTCATGTCCTCCCAGTTTGCTATTTGCTAACCATTTCCAACAGTTTTAGCTGTTTGTTTATGGATTTTAATAAAATATCATTTGGAGGGTTACATGGACTTTGAGAACAAAAGTTGCCAGTGATGTATGATACTATGATGATAGAGAACATTCATGCCGCCCCTCTCTCTTTCTTTCTCTCTCCTTCAGTTCCTCAAATTGGTTGTAAACCTCAGACATTAACCACTTGCCCTCCTGAGGATTTACCCCCCTTCCTGACCAGGTCATTTTTTGTGTTACAGCACTGCGGTACTTTAACAACTGCACGGTCATGCAACGCTGCACATCATTTGCAATTTACGTCCTTTGTTTCCCACAAATAGAGCTTTCTTTCGGTGGAATTTTCGGTGGTGCATTTTGTATTTTTTCAACTATATACAAAAAAGGGAAATTTTGAGAAAAAAACAATATTTTTGACTTTTTGCTATTAAGCATGTCCACTAAAAAATGTAAAAGATGAAATTGCGTCATAAATTTAGGCCAAAATGTATTCTGTTACATGTCTTTGCTAAAACAAATAATCCCAATACGTGTAAATGGATTGGTTTACGTGAAAGTTGTAGCATTTACAAATGGTGGTATATACTGTATACTGGAATTTATTATTTTTTTTTACAAGTAATGGCGGTGATCAGTGACTTAAAGCGGGACTGCGGCAGGCATTCTGACATTGGGGGGAACTGACTTGGTGTCAGTGACATCTCCAGTGACACCAATACAGTGATCAGTGCTAATAAAAAGCACTGACACTGTACTAATGGCACTGGGCAGGAAGGGGTTAACATGTGGGGCAATCAAAGGGTTACCTGTGTGCTGTTTCACCGTAAGGCTGTGTGTTTTCTACTGTAAGCACACTGCTTTGTATGGCTCTGCTATGCAGAGCCATACAAAGCATTGTTCAGGAGCTGACAGGGGAAATAACTGTATTGTTTACATACAGTTCTCTCCCCCGGAGCTAATACTCAGCAATCATCGGGTGCCAGCAAGTAATCACCGGCAAGGACACGGTGATTGACAGCTGAGGTCAAGAATGGTGGCGCAGGTAGGACACGAGCCCCCTACCTGGAACTGCAAAATCACATAAATATACGTGATGTTGCGCACCCTTGCCACCCTGTAGCAGTATTTCTGCTATAGGGCGGACGGGTAGCGGTTAAAGTGTTACTAAAGGCAGAACTTTTTTTTTAAAATTAAAATAAAAAACATGTTATACTTACCTGCTCCGTGCAGTGGTATTGCAGAGAGTGATCCCGATCCTCCTCTTCTCGGGTCCCCCGCCATCGATCCTGGCTCCTCCTCTACTTTTGTGTGTCTGTATAGCAAGCCGTTTGCTATGGAGACAAACACTGCATGCTCACTCCCAACCTGTGTGTCTATGAAGCCACGCTCCATAGACACACACAGAGGGACTTAGCCCCACCCCCCACTTCTTCACCGCACTTGATTAACAGCAACAAGCAATGCACTAAGGTAAAAAAACGTTTTTAGGGTTAGTATCAGTTTAAAATCTGAACAAAGCTCACATTTCTATAGTGTTTACTTGCCTCTCTCCAAAGCACTAAGTGTCATTTCTCTCTGCTGTCTAGTTCCTCTGTTATGAGCACTAGTCATTGACAAATTTTCCTGACACCAAGAGCTAAAAAGGTGACATGGGTGAGGGATCTCCAGCTGACTGACAGCCTCAGCTCTCTTCCTGTGTGCTGTGTGAAGGGGAGGGGGGGGTGTTCCTTCCCTTCAATCAGCTCTCAGAGCTCTTGTAAAGTGCATAACTGCAGCTCTCCGCTCCCTGCTTTGTGAATCTATGAAAAATCCTTTTCATCTCAGAGTTTCAGAAGGATGTACAGGACAAATTACTGTAAATAAACTGATAGAGCTTTTGTAGGAGGATTTGTTTCACCTCTGTGTATCACCTGAGGCTCTTTACTTCTCTAGGTAGAGAGCACTTTAAAGGGACATGTCATGAGAGGTTAATGAAGGCTGAACTCTCTTTTGACAATTCTGTCATTCTAATACTTTGACTTCAATGATGTCTGAGTCTGAGGTAAGTAGCTCTGGCACTTTTGTGACACTCGTTTACAGCATGCTTGTTCCAAGACTGTGACTGAAATATACTGAAGACACAGCCAGGGATTTAGCATTTTAGGAAGAATGCATTCAATGGCAGCCCCTATACATCTTCTGTGACAAAGTCACTTTAAATTTTGGAACGTTTGTTCCAGCTCAGCAGGTGTTTGCTTTTTCTACAAAACAAGACACTTATATTCACATTTTTCAGAAAACAGATTACTGATTTTTCCAAGATAGCTGTCCATTTTTTTATAAATGTGAATGGGAAATTGGTTGGTGTAAAGTAGAGGTCTCCAGACTTTCTAAACAAAGGGCCAGTTTACTGTCCTTCAGACTTTAGACTGTGGCCAGTGGGAGTAGAAACTGTCTTGGTCTCAGTGGGAGAAAAAGTGCCCCATCTTTGGTATTAATGGAAGGGATGGTGCCCCGTTGTTGGTGTCAGGGGGAGGAACCGTGCTTCATCTTTGGTATTAGGGGGAGGAATAGTGCCCCATCGTTGGGATCAGTGGGAGAAAAAGTGTCTCATATCCCCTCCCTCCTAGATTGTAAGCTCGAAAGAGCAGGGCCCTCGATCCCCTCATGTTTTGCATTGTATTGGTATTGTTCTGTCACATGTTCTGTCCCCCTTTGTAATGTACAGCGCTGAGTGAACTATTGGCGCTTTATAAATACTGTATAATAATAATATCAAGAGGAGGCTTCTTTCAGGCGTGCTCATAGAATGGACCATACTTTGCAAGAGGCAACTTGTGTAAGGCTTCCACTTTTTTTGTAAGCATATGAAAATGAGACCTCTTCTTCATTTTAAAAGGTTTGATGCTTCTTGCTGGCTGGTAGGATTGAGTGCTACGTAATGTTTTTTGTGGCGAGCTGCCCTGCAACATACATTTAGCATGGATAGACACTAATAAGCTACTGACCATTTTCTCTCCTCGCTTTGTTTGATCATACACCTGACAAAGAAACCTAATGTGTTCTGATAGTTTGCACCTATTACAACTTAATTCAGCCAATAAAGGACATCACTTTATACTTCCTTACTGATTGACACCCAACAAAGTAAACTGCTCTGCTACCTCTATGAATTAGATTATTTTTTTGCACCTCTATGAATTAGATTACTTTTTGCGTTACGGCGCTGTGTTATTTTAACTGACAAATGTGTGGTTATGCAATGCTGCACCCAAATTAAATTTATGTCCTTTTTTTTCCACAAATTGAGCTTTCTTTCGGTGGTATTTGATCGCCTGTGTGTTTTTAATTTTTGTCGCTATAAAAAAAAGACTGACAATTTTGAGAAAAAAACAATATTTTTGACTCTTTGCTATTAAACATGTCCAGTAGAAAAAATTTAAAAAATCAAACTTCATCATAATTTAGGCCAAAATGTATTCTGCTACATGTCTTTGCTAAAAAGAAAATCTCAATACGTGCAAATGAATTGGTTTACGTGAAATCTATAGCGTTTACAAATGGAGGTGTAGATACTGGAATTTTTTTAACTAGTAATGGCGGTGACCAGTGCCATATAGCGGGACTGCGGTGGACATTCTGACACTGGGGGGAACTGACTTGATGTCACTGACAGTGATCAGTACTAAAAAAAATGCACTGAAACTGTACTAATGGCACAGGCAGGAAGGGGTCCAACATGAGGGGTGAACAAAGGGTTAACTGTGTGCTGTTTCACAGTAAGGTGTGTGTGTGCTTCACTGTAATCACACTGCTTTGGATGGCTGTGCTGTGAAACAGCCATCCAAAGCAATGTGCAGGAGCTGACAGGGAGTAGAACTGTATTGTTTACATACTGTTCTCCTCCCCGTCGGAGATGCTCGGCAATCACCGGGCGCCAGTGAGTAATCACCAGTGCGGCATGGGTAGGGCGCGAACGCGCCCCCTACCCGGAAATGCTACATCACATATATACAGTATATATGTGATTTTGCACACCCGTGCAGCCCTGTAGCAGTATATCTGTTATAGGGCAGTCAGGCAGCAGTTAATGCGCAATGGGATATGCATTTCTCTCTCTCTGGAACAGGAAGATGAGAGCTATCACCAATTCCAATTTCATATCTATGCCCAGACCTTATACATTTGTACATTGTAGTCAAATCCCCTCTTAAAGTGATTGTTGTCTCTTTGTTTTACAAAAAAAAAATTAAAACAAAAAAAACAAACATTTTATACTTACCTGCTCTGTGCAATGGAGATCAGGTTCAGGGGGATGGCGGGGGGGGGGGGGGGGGGATCTCATACATTAAAGTAGAGAAAGAATTAAAGTGGAACTGCACTGCATCTGAGCACCACAAACCAAAAGTGCTATTTAATTCATTGTTAATATTCAAAGCAAACTCACCCATTCATCCATGTCTCCATGATTTATTTTGCTGATAAATAACTTAATAAGCACCCCCTAGCATTTCTGTCCATGGCCATCTAGAGTAAGGGCAGATGATTAATGTAGAATTTACTTCCTGGTATTCACATGCCCTTAGCTCAGCCATTGCCTGAGCTGAGAACCCTCCCTCCCCATCTGAACACTGCTGGAATGTATGACATCCCTTGCCTAGGCATGTGAACCAGGAAGTAACTGAAGAACTGTAAAAAGAAGTTTAAAACAAGTAATACGATATACTTTCCTATCTATTTACTAATGCTAATATTATAAAGATGAAAAATAGTAAATGTTGATTGAAAGAGTGAAGTTCCACTTTAAGGTAAAAAACAAAAATGTCTACCATTACAACTACTTTAAGCCCCTCTTCTCCAGAGTGAAGAAAGTGTAATCTATGCAATCACTCCTTATAGTGTAGGTCCTTCACCCACCTTATTAATGTTGTTGTCTAATTCAACATCTTTCCTGAGGATTGGTGATCAAAACTGAACTGCATTTTCAAGATGAGGCCAAACCAGTGTTTTGTAAGGGGTAGAATTATTGATTTATCTCCTAAATGTATGCATTTTTAAATGTAAGACCACATTTTGCTATCTTTGTTAGCTTCGGCTTGGCATTGATTTAGTCTGTAATATACAAGCACTGCCAGATCTCTTTCCATTACTGATTCTCCCAGGGAAGCCCCTCCTAATATCTCATTTGCATGTGAGGTCAGGTCATATACTGTATAATCTATACTTTACAACACACTCAACATACTGTATGTTCAATTGAGAATAATTGAAGTGATTCTAAAGGTTTATTTTTTATTAAGAAAAAAATAACAAAGATGTCTATACCTACCTGCTCTGTGTAGTGGTTTTGCACAGGGCAAACCAGATCCTGCTCTTCTTGGGTCCCCCGCAGGCTCTCCTGGCCCCTCCCTCCTGTCAGGTGCCCCCACAGCAAGCAGCTTGCTATGGGGGCACCCGATGCTTCGTGTGTCCATCCGCACATGGAGCTGTGACTTAGCCCCACCCCTCTCTCTTCTCATTGGCTCACTGGCTGTGTTTGACAGCAGTAGGACCCAATGGCTCAGCCAATGAGAAGAGGGAGTCCTAGGATAATCGAGACTCCAGTGCACATCGCTGGATCGAGAGGGAGTTAAGGCAAGTATAAGGGGGGGATGCTGCATACAGAAGGTTTTTTTACCTTCATGCATAGAATGCATGCAGGTAAAATACCTTAAGCCTTTAGAACCACTTTAAAGTAAACAAAAATAATATTTTCTTTTTTTGTTTGATAGATGGGCTATATCATTTGTAAAATATAGCAGTAAAAAAAGTGCCAACAATAGTGAACTTTGATACAGCTTGTGACCAGATTCCTTGTTTCATGTACAAAGAGAACAGAAATGTGAACATGATTGTATACTAGGGCTAACAATTTCACTTTTGTTTATTGTTTTTTTCCCTTCCCCAATTTTTTTTCACAGTGGCTCTTTAAAATTTGAATTTTCTATATTTTAGCATTAAAATTAATTATCCCAAAACCTGTCACGTACATTTCTGTAACAACAGGAATCCCAGATTGCAG